GTTCCCTTAGCATCATCATGTCATCCTTATATTCGCGTCAAAAAATGTGGTATCGGTAAAACGAGAATGAGAGATGTTTCTTTCTTGGTATGCGCGTGTTGCGGCCAGCCGATGTACTACTTTCAGACCAAATTTCTGACGCGAATATAGAAATGACAGGATGGTGCTAAGGGAACAGGGATCAGCTCGGAGGTAGAAAGAGCCGTTTAAGCCGTTTTACAGGATTACATCCGTTACAGCCTTTACATTTACAGTATCTGTGATCATTTTAGTGAAGCATATGTATTATAATGATATCTCATTGATCACAGATCTATAAAGAGGAGTATCCCACTCGTCAACAAGCTTCAGAAATGGGCGTGTATGCCAGCGGGCTAAAACTAAGCAAAGCTCGATGCTGGCGCCGGGGCGATAAGAACATACCTCGACTTGTCTTGTGTATTTTATTGATGTTGTGCACGCATTTCGTGCTCAATCGTGTGAAGCTACTGGAAAAGGACGATATACAACCATTACAAGCTCAAAATTTAAAATTAGAAAAATGTCAGAGATGGACCGCAGCACAAAGAAATGAGCTCCTGCAGGAAGTGAAAGCCTACGAGAAGGATCAGAGATTCGCCAGAAAAATTGCTGAGGCGAAAGGCGAAATCAAGCTAGATGCCCGCTTCCCAGCTTGTCTGGCTTTCTTGAAGGCAAAAGTACTGACATCCGGGCAGTCAGTGTTAGATCTTGGATCTGCTGCAGGTGCTTTGTTGCGGGTTGTTGGTGAAGTGCTTGATACGGATGGTGGTAGGGGGCGAATGGTCGGTGTTGAGCTAGTTGGAGGATGGGTCCAAGCTGCAAAAGAAATTTTGGGAGACAAGATAGAGTTCTATCATTCAGACATCACGGAATTTGATGAGGTCGACTTTAAATTTGATGTCATTACGCTCCTTGATGTCGTCGAGCACGTTCAACCCGAGAGGTATGATTGCCTCTTCAGCACAATAGAGCGATACTCGCATCCAGAAACTGCCGTATACTTCCATGTTCCTTCTCCAGAAACACAGTTGCTGGATGCAGATCAGTTTTTCGAGAATGTAGTTCCTCACCATGTTCTTGTTGGCGGTATGGCGGATCATGGCTTTCAGCTAGAGCATTTTAGCTTTGATACTGATACAGACTGCGGCTCGAAAGGCAAAATCGACGGAAAGAATACCAGGAACAAGGACGCAAAGTGTATCATGAACGGAGCACCCAAATACACGCATTTTTTGTTCCGTCAAGTTAAAAACCCGAATGTCTTGGTTGTCGAACGCAGCACCAAAGGGGCGTAAAACAGTAGGGCAAATTCAAATAGTACAACACTTGCTGCTACGTACATCTTATTAAAGGAAGGCTTATATCTTGGTAAAAAGTATGTGGTTTGTGTGGACCGAACGCTATTAGAAGACGTCCAGAATATCAGTGTGAAGCGTCACGTCATGCGAATTGAGGGTTGCATAAAGTTTCCCATCATGAAATCTCCCCAGTGAGGAAGGGTGTGATCTCTTTACCCTCGCCCTAGATTGAATATGTGACATGTTGTTCAGACCTATCGTAACCTTGTTATTGCCGTCTTGAACAGCATGGAGGGGAGCACCGGAGATGAGAGACTTATGCGCTTTCAATCGCCGACCAAAAGCAGACTTGCAGAGGCGAAGAGCATCTAGTTCTAACCCCTGGATCTATGAAAAAAAGCTTTTTCAGCGAAGAAAAGAAAAGAAAAACTTTCTTTTCTTCGCCAAGAAAATCATACCCGAAGTAGATGAAGAAAGGTATCCTTGCTAAAGAAAAGATACTTTCTTTTCTTGAAGAACCAAATATTTCTTCGTCCTCTGGCCAGCTACCCAAGAAAACTTTTCTTCACGAAGAAAAAAATTTTGATTTTTCTGAAAGAAAAGGTTATTTTTCTTCATGGTAAGCCACCCAAGAAAAGCGATAAGAAAAGAAATTTTTCTTTCCTAAAGAAAAAACTGACGCGAATATAGGAATGACATGATGATGATAAGGGAATAATGGATCAGCGATAGGAGGTCGAGAAGGCCCATATGGGCCCTACCTCATGTATCCGTTATGGGCCTTGCGGTCTGTACTACGGTGTGGTGATCGCTTGTATGTCATGTCATGGTTTGCGTCCACCTAATCATTTATATGTTATATTATTATACGACAACAGGACTGGCGTCGACCAGTGTCTTTAGTTGTCTTTGGTTGTCTTCGGTTGTCTGTCATATTGGTTGTCTTAGTACGAGATTCTTGGGTGAATCATTGGTCTACATTCTCAGGGAGAATAGTGGTCGTACTGAAGAATCAATTGGGTATTGGGTTACCTGTGGCATTAGTTTTTTTATTCGCATCACTATGATGGGCAAATTCCTTAAAGCTTGGTTTCCGATTAATGTTTGCAATTTATTTGCAAATGCCAGGAGCAGAGTGGCTAAGGGAAAAAGTAAGGGGGAAGAGTGGAAACGAGAGGCGTCAATTCTATTGACTTCTCTCTCAAGAGAGAATTGGACGCCGTAGCTCGCTGAACAAGAGGGAAAAGAAAGCAAGCGAAGCGAATAAGCCATGAGAAGAAAGAAACAAGGGGATCAGGGCTGTAGGAAGCTATGGAAGTCTCTTTCCACACGCCCACGACCCGCTCTCGTCTTCTTTGAGGGCCATGGCGGGATTTCTCTTTCCAGGACCGACTGTTCAGAGGCTCATAACACTCCTTTCCCTCCCTTCGCTTTATAGGTGCTGCGAGTGCAACGGGAGGCGATCACCATTGACCAATACGTCAGCGCACTCGTCGAACGAGTCAAACGAGACAAGGTATGTAGCTACCTTCGTATCTGGTGCTTTTTCCTGCCTCGCTGCTCTTGTCCTCTCCCTTTCTATTTCTCTTTTTGCTTTCCCCGTCGAGGAAGCTCTCAATGTCGGGTTGGAACGGTATGATGACCAAGCCATATCTATATTCCCTATTTAACAGTCCCTGTTTCTTCCTCTTTTCCTGTTTGGTTCATCCTCTTTTTCCTACCTGTATCGCTCTAGCTGCTTGCTCTTTACTGCAGCCATCAACAGAAGAAAGCTTTGGCGTTTCGGGTCCTGAGGCGCGTCAAGATTATGGAAGAGGAGCTTCGGGGTGTAGAAGGAGAGGCAATGTAGACCTTGTGAAAGGAGAAATCAATGCACACTGAGAGGGGATCAATTAATGTCACGCTTATGTTTTTGAGACCGTTCGTACAGCAACCCATGATGTCTTTTCGGTGTTAGAGAGGCAAACTTTCCATTAGAACTAGATTGCTAGTACGAAGACGGCTCGGGGATGAAGCCTTTCGGTTCTTCCAAGTCCTCTCAATGTTCGCCTCTATTTGCGGGCTTACCGGTCCTGGATGTCTCGCCCCAAGTCCAGGATGTACTGACGTGAAAGTCCTGCCTCACTTAATCGCAATACCAAAGTAACGGCTCTTTTGCACTATCCCAGACTCCACATTCATGCACTATCCCAGACTTCACATTAATGTAAAGCTACGAGCACGATACCTATCTGCCAGTGCTTCGGACACGCTGGAATTACTATGTGTCTATAATTTGTACACGGACCTTTCACGGTGTGGGACACAACAGCAAGATAAGCAAGGGTTCTCTCATTTCCCCTCTTGATCTGAAATGTCGGATCTCTAGAGCATCTGCCGATGAACATCATGGAGTCGTTCAGATATCAAGCTCGAGTATTTGAGGACCCTAGGATTCGCTCTGGATTTTAGGAACGCCATGCATTGACCATGGCGTCAACCAGGAATAAGAGTCCTAACCCTAGCCCTGTCGCTTCTTCTTCGCCGTGGTCCGAGGAAGAAGGGGAGGACGTACAAGAAGAAGGGGGCGAAAGACGGAGAGAGGGAAGGCGGAAAGAAGCGCTACCCTACCCTTAAGACGAAGAGAAGAAAAGGGTCGATACCCTCATACCCTTACAACTCGCGTTGCAAAAAGGGCATTGGCTCGCGGTACGGTTCTCATGTATGCTCTTACATCTCCCTGCCTTCCTTCTTTCCCTATTTTCTCTCTATTCCTAGTACCCTCCCTTTCTAGTATCTCAACTCGAGGGACCCCACTCGCGTGAGGACTGGGGGCCTTGCGCGTCAGATCTGTCCTTGTTCCCTCCCTCTCTACCTCTGTTGCTTTTTTCTTCCCTTCTTCCCTCTTTCCCCTCTTTCCTCCCCGCCTTGTTGACTGCTACATAAGCGTGCGGGTCGAAGGCCCTCAGTGTCGGCTTTTAAGACCCCACCCTTTCCCTCCCTACCACCAGGATAACGCTAGAAATTCATCACAGGACATTCTTTCCCTGACGGATTTCTCAAAAGTTTCACGTGAACGAAATGATTGATGCAACGTCCCCTCCTTGTTTTCTGGTCATTCTTTATCCCTGACTTCGTCTTCTCCCTGCTCCATCGTGAGCGGGAAAAACTACAGCAATGACGAAGAAAAGGAAAAGGAAGCGAAAGGAGATCAATCAATTTCATTCTTTGTTTTTGAGACCGTTCACAGAGCGACGCATGATGTCTTTTCAGTGTTGGAGCGGCATATACCCATAAGAACTAGATATCTAGTACGAACACGGCTTGGGGATAAAACCTTTCGGTTCTTCCATTTCTTCTAAGTTTTTAACATCCTTCCAAGCTGTATCGTTACAGCTCATTCCAGAGGATTGCCTTCGCGCTTTCCCTCACTCTATTTGCTTTTACAATCCCTCACAACTGTATCGTAACAACTCCTTGCGCTATACTGCAGCCATCCCCAAAAGAACGCCATCGCACTTCATAATTTCCAAAGAGCTTTGGTGCTAGTTGACTTTTGCATATTTGAAGGATCGTAAAGTGTACAAAACAAACGAAATCGCGTTTTCTTACGCTTACGCAAGCCTCCTATCATATGCGTCCTTCTCACTCGCGACAGCCAAGGATCCTTGAAACCAGTGCAATTTCCTAGGTAAAATTCGTACGTACAAGTCTGGGTTGCTACTCACCTTGCACCACTCCTGATCGGGATCAAGATTCGATCCAGCATCACGAGCTTCTTTCGCAAGAGCCGCCGAGAATGAGATCTGATCTCTATCACAGCCTTGGTAATATTCTTTCGACCATGCACAGCGAAATTTGCGACCTAATTCGTTTTCTAAATTATGAACTAACAATGCTCCGTCAATCATGTTTACCATTGAGATATTTTGAGTGTTTTGAAGATCAAGATAGCCATTCACCTGATGATCTAAAGTTCGCAGCGTGTAAGTGACGGTCGGTCGACTTTTCTTATGACCTATAATGGCTTCTTTTTCCTCAAAAGGGCCGTTTCTAGCTGGGTGCCTTACTGCCATCAGGCTTGCAGAACGATTTTCGTTGTCACTCAGCATCCCAACAAGATAATGATAATCTGCTTGCAGTGTCAGCTTCGCATCAATATATAGGGCATGCTTTACAGATGATGAAAAAAAGAGAGCGGGGGTTAGTTTCACAAGTCGTGATAGCCGCCGATTATCCCAGTAATGGAAATTGTCTCCGCTCCACATAATTGTCTTCCATTTATCGCGGGACGCTGACATCGGGATCTCAATATTGGTGAAGGCAATTGCGCAGCATCGCTCGTCATTGCAGGCAAGCTCTACAGGAGGGTCCTGTAGATCTGATTTAGTCGCCCCAAAGAATGCAGTGTAAATTACAGTTTCGCAACCGTGTGTCGCTTCCACGGATTCAGACACCATATCATCGAATGGCGATGATATGCAACGGCTCTTCTCCGAGCACTCGCTAGCGCACAATGCACGTTCACCTGTATACAGAAAGTACCATTCGACAAATCTTTTGATCCCTTCATCCATGCTTACTTGAGGAGCATAAGAGAGGAGCTCTTTCGCCTTGCTCGTTGAAGCATAGGTCGCATGTAAATCAACTGCGGAATCTTCAAAGCTTAGCCGTGCCGTCTGACCAACCTCCTTCTCAATGGTTTTTACCAGATCCAGAACCTGCTCTGGCTTACTTTTCCCCAAGTTGAAAATTTCTGAAGAACTCGGAGGGTACCTTAAGGAGGCATATATTCCTGAAACTATGTCGTCAATGTACGTAAAATCTCGAGCCATGTCTCCTTGGTTGTAAACTGTAATATTCTCTCCTTTGGAAATGCTAGCAGTAAACTTGTAGGGTGCCATATCAGGTCTCCCCCAAGGTCCATACACAGTGAAGAATCTGAGCCCAACAGATGGAATGCCGAAGACCTTGAAATACACAAGAGCTAAGAGCTCATTCGCTCGCTTGGAGAAGCCGTAAACACTAGAGGGGTTGTCCACCTGATCTGTCTCTTTGAAAGGTATTTCCACATTCCCGCCATAGACACTTGAAGAGGACGCGTAGACAAAGCGAGGAACCACACTATCGTTCGAGCTTCTTTTTAATCGACGAAGTTCTTCTAGGAGCGTTACAAAACATTGAATGTTGTTTCTGACATAGTTCAAGGGCTGCTCTAATGAATACCGTACCCCTGCTTGCGCAGCTAGATGAAGTACATGAGTCACATGGTGACCTTCAAGAATACTCCGCAAGAAGGGAGCGTCACAAACGTCGCCATCTAAGACCTGGACCGTGTTCCAGTGACTCAGCAAGTCTGCTCTCTTGTATTTAAGTGCGACATCATAGTAATCATTGAAGTTATCCATCCCCACAACCTTTGCTTTGGTGTGCTCAGCAAGGAACTTTGCCACGGAGAATCCAATAAATCCTGCAACGCCTGTGATAAGTACCGTCGAGTTCTCGTTTACAAGCGGGATTGCCGCAACGTTTTGCTGTTGATTGAATGTCCATTGATGCAAGTCTCGGGAATCCAGAAGTGGGTTTTGCACCACAAGAATAGCAATGGTGATACTCAGAGCCGAGAATATTCGATATAATCGAGTGGATGTCAATTTGGCTACTTGCTTGGAGAGTAGGCGCTGCATCGCATTCTGTGCGGGTGATCGACAATGTGGAGCGAAGAGAATGTAGCAATGATAAGTAGTCAACGACATTCGCCCGAAAGTAAGTTTTTTGCAAGATTTCGATGAGATCATTCGCAGTATGCCTCCGAAGAAAATCGTGCCCATGAAGTTCTGCATAACGGCGCTGCGTCCGTTTGCGAATGGATTCGGCGACTATTTGCCCTCCCATGAGGCAGGGGTGTCACCCGACCTAGGGGTCATCAACGAACATCATCAATCATTGGTGAGATTTCATTTCTGAATAATGCTTGAGCTAGACAGGTGAGCTATTAAAGTACGAAGGCCTCCGATTTGTGATCGGAAAATGCGGGCTTGACACTCTAAAATGCGTTTTGCCTAGGGCACCGCCCCAAAAGCCCGCGGGGGAGCGCCCGCAGTCCCCCCTTCGCAGTATGCCCCCCCTTGAATCTCCTTAGTTTGGACAGGCCCGTTCCTGCGGAGCGGGTACAGTCTCATACATGAGTCATGACTGACCACCGGTCCATTGGCCGTTTTCATGAAAGACCAAATATTAGATGGGGTGACTCCCGTCGTCCAGGGAATGGTCCCACTCGCCTGTGAGAGAGCGAAAGTGGGGCGAGTGCGAGTGCGTTTCTAAAAGTGCCCCCTCACTCAAATTTCACTTTTCTATTATGCAGCCAATTACGGAAGTTCACGCTGCTATAAAGAATCAATCAGAGCATGGATTTCATAGGGAAGCCGTGAAAGAGCAAGAGCAATGGATAACGGTATTTTTGAGGCTTTGGGTAAGTGTCAAGCAGTTGGGATGGGATCCAGGATCGACGAGTCGCCGGGAAACTATAGGGTTAGGAGTAGGGCTGGTTAGGGGCGGAAAAGTGATTGAGTGGAAATACAGTGTCTTGCTCAAAATGGAGAAAAGACTTGTGCACACACAATAGGATAAATGGCAAATATGATAGGAATATCAAGCTACAAGAGAGAGTTTTCTCTCAAATAACGAAGGACTAAGGCGCTTAGGCGCTCAAAATCAAGCCTTGAGTAGGACCTATATTTGCATTTAACGCCACAAAATTCGGCGAATGGGGGAAGTGACTTTCAACGAGCTAGACCTCTTTCGGTGTACGTTTTCAAGGCATCGAAATTGTAAGGGATCTAGATTCACAATAGCTTTTATCAACCAGAATTACCAGCGAGGCTGCCCGATTTGTCCTTTATTTGCTCTTTTTCTCGGACTCCTCCCCATTTATCCCTTTGTACTACAATTTACTAGGGACACGACACATAGTGGCATCTCACACGCCCTTCTCAATATTTTGGATATGTAGCTCCTAGCTGCTGTATATTTTGCCCTAGAGATGTCGTTAGAGATGGGTTGAGGGCGATGACGAGCTTCTTAGTCGCGTTATTTGTCTGGATCTTTTGACTTGTTGCACTTTTTGAAAAGCTATCCTTACGAGTCATTCGATCCAGTGTGCCTTTCTATAGACAGGGCCCTGTGAACTCTATATTCCTAAATATGGTACCTTCGTGATCTGCTCCTACATTCATACACATTCCTGACACTGGAGGGGTATCAATCGAAAATGGACTGAGCATTCGCGGTATCTATGTTGGAAAACACGCTTTTGCAAGGATGGACGATAATATACAGCGCATATACAAAAGTCAGCAAAGTTATTGCTCGGCATGGCACTCTCTGTGACTTGAGAACGTAAACAATAGCATCGCTGTCGTAAGGGATCCCGTGGATCGATTAGTTAGCGGGTTTTGTGATCCACATCAAATATTCCATCAAGCAGAGCTTTCCTGCGAGGGACTAGCGAATTAGATTTTAGATGTTCTATCACACGTACTGACGGAGAACAAACACACATATAACAGTCACTTGTTTTCTCAGTGGGAGATTGCCAAAAGGGCTGATATCATCATACCGGTTTGTACATTAGGAACAAAGCATGGAAATCAAATGCTTTCTGAGCACTTCTAAATTGCTAACTTCATCTTGGGTAAGGAGAATGAAGGTGTGTCACACAATTGAAAATGTTAAAAACTTCACGAACTCCGTCCAGTGGGCTACCAAGGTTACCGACTGTATTTCATCAACCGCATATACTCTGTTCCAATACACATATCGGGATGATTACGAGTACCTTCCAAAAACACTTCACGTGTGCATAGGGAATGCTCTGTACAACAAAAAAGCGCATCCTGTACACGAAACAGAGATGTATCTAATGCGCGCGGTCGCTCAATCAAGATATTGTTTGCTCTTGGTCTTTCGAAGGGATAGGGTGGCGCGAAAATGTGGGTACATGGGTATCGATCATCAATGTCTCTCTTTTCTCCAATAAGTCATTTTCGACAGACTTTTTCTTCACAGAATGAAAAGCCCTTTTCCTTTTTGCGTGAGGAAACATGTTCTTCGGGGAGAAAAGGGCGGGAATGGGAGAAAGCCATGGGCATGATAGGTGCCCCCACTACCTGTGGTAGGCGGTTGCCTGCTTCCCTACCTCAGCAGCGACCATCGAGCGGGATCAAGGATTGACGGTCAACGTGCTCACGAGGAAGCGAGCCAGCATTGGCGCGGAGTGGGTCACTGTGTGCACGCTGCTTAGTGCCCATGACGGTGAGTACCACATCGACCTTGCCTCGAGCCTGCACGAGATCAAGAAGCTATCGGCAGTAGGGATGGCGGCGGCGCTTCCCTTCCTCGTGCGTGAGCCCCCCTGCACTGACTCTTCGCACAGGCGGACATGGGGGAGGTACTTGAGGAGCTAGAGCTGGAGGGCGTCACTGCGGACATGGAAACGGAGCGGCGGGAGCGTGCGGGGCTGGAGACGCGCGAGGACGACCAGGACATGACGGCGAGTGGCGACAGAGCAGGCTGGAGATGTGGCGTGTGGAGGCCAAGCACTCAGTCTTCGTGTTAGAGGTGGGGATGGAGGAGGGGGGCGCCGTGCAGCTTGTCGGTAGCTTATTGTATGCAGCACCGGTTACACATCCGGACATTGCATTTGCAGTACAATCACTAGGGAAATACTTACAAGCAGCTAGTGAAGAGCATTGAATTGCCGGCAAACGTGTATTGAGGTACCTTAAGGGTACTCGTAATATTGGTCTTAAATACACTGGAAATTCTGCGGGAGCTTTTAACCTCGTAGAAGATGCAGACTATGCTGGAGATGAGGATAATAGGCGTACAACGTCTGGTTCTATCTGTACGTTGAGTCATGACAATAATATCGCTCCCCTCCGAGGCACAAGTGGAGCCCTCCCGCCGGCTTCCGCCCCTCACCGCGGGTTCGGACGCCCCCGCTGTCACCACCCCGCTCCTCCTAAGCAGAGCCTTCTTCCCCGCCCGCCCTTGGAGCTTCTCCCGGTAGCCGTCAATCTGGTGACGAAAAAAAGCCGTGGCAACATGCGCCGCGTTGTTCCCCGTGATTTTCTTCGCCATCTCTGCCGCGGATGCCATAATGTTGGAGTTGAGGCGGCGCCTCTGCAGAAAGCTTTGCGCCGAAGAAGACCCAGTTACATTGGTTACGACGCCGATCGTGCTGGCAAGAATTTGCCGACATGTCCCCCTTTCCGGCGTTGGGAGCTCCCTCGCCTTCTACAACCCCGCGTAGAAGACACTTTTCCCGTCGGATGACCAGCCTAGTCGCACAAATCACTACTTGAAGGGGGAGGGGACGGGAGAGGAGGGGGTCCTGGATTCTGCCTACGTGCCTTTTCCGTCGACATCGTCGCCCCATGGACTAGTCTTCTCTACGTGGAAGTCATCGTCATTGTCCTGGTGATCTGGATGACCATTCCACCCTAGAGGTATCCCGGTCGCATCCTCGCGAGGTGTCCCTCCGTAGTAAGCTCCTCATTCAACATGCCTGTCGTGCCAAGAAAGGGAATTATGCTCTCAACCCTCGACGTCAGGTAGGCTTACACGGGCGCCATCTCCTTCTCCTCTCCGGCTACCTCACCAAGGAAGACGGTCCCGGCGTCCATGTGCCGCCCGCCCATCTACACAGCGGCTAGTGTCGCGCCCCCCCTCTACCCCCTCCTGGCAACAGCCCGAGACCCTCGAGTTTTCGCCGTCGGTATGGGCTCAGACAGTCGAGTGTTGTAGCACTAAGGTCCGCGCGGACTCGTCACGTCGCCGGTTCGGTCCCAAGAGCCGCCTCGCCCTTTGCCACCAACATAAAAAGCGCACCATTTATGTTTGAGAATGGGGGGGCTGCATGCAGGTGACCACAACGGGGTACATCTCCCACACGGCGAGCTGGTGGGCGCATACGGCGCCCCGCTGGCCGTTGTTGCAGCTGTACCGGGAGGTGATCGTGTCGAATTTCCCACGCGAAAGCACAGGTGCTCCGTATTCTTCTCCATAATCCGGTCTAGAAAGCGTTTGAAGTAAGTCTTCTTGTGCTACAATTCCTCCGTCGTATAGTGGCGCTAGAGAGTGAGCGCGGCCTCGTGGTCCCGCTTGTGCTCATCCTGTGTAGATTCCATCCCTGCCAACTCCTGCGCCAGCACTTTTGTGGAATTCCGCCGCGTGTAGTGTTTCTCGAGGACGATATCCTTCGTTACGTTCTCCACGCTGGTCCACGACGTGGTAGTGGCCGCGTTGTTATGCTAGAAACGAAATAATTATGCACCTCACCCGCTATACGGTGGGTCAGGTGGATGACATTATAAGCCATCAGCCCACGGAGAACAGAGTGCTCGATCACACTAGTATTCCCCTGGCAGATGTTGTTCGTCTCCTGCCTCCTGTCCCCGACAGCGAGCTCCTTCCGAAAGCGGGGGAAGACCTGCCGTGCCCTGCGAGCCTTCTTCTCCGTTTTCGCACCAGATACCACGGCGAAGGGTGGGGCCCGCTGTGCGGACGATAGGGAGGCCGTAGTGGACAGAGAGGTAGATGACGAAGCGGTCGTGGGCTCCCACCTCCTCGTTCTGCAGAAAGGGGCCCACGCCCCCGGTCACAAACTTGGTCCACAGCTCCCTCCCCAACACGTG